TTTCTCTACAGCTCAAGGCAGCAATGAGGGTTGAGAATACAATGGTTTGCCATAAGCATCAGAAGTGCTTTATTTAATAGAGGCTTCTAACATGATTTTGAGCTTATGATTCATTCCCCTAATGTCATGGAAATGAAGCAAATGTATGTCACCTGGCCACATTTCCAAATGAGTTCAAGAGGCATTAGACGAAGCCAGTGAATGTGCATGTCAGAGAACATTGAATACTGCCTTTATTTAAAGATCACAACTTAGCTTTTCCTGCAGGAAACTGCATTTGAAAAGTTGTGATCTGCAAGAATTGTCACTATTGATGATTCCAAATCAATCTTATTTTGTTATTAAATATTTCTATTTATATTACTGAGATAACAATCTTGGCTAAGGATTCTGAATTCCCAACTAGCAATTATATTTGATACTTCCATACTGAAATCTTAAGGTTTTATAACCTGCTTTAATCTTCCACAGGGACATATTATCTCCAATGGACATGTCCCTGCAATATACCTATTGAATGTTCTTATCCTAAAAGTAAACAGTAAAATTAGTGGGAGAAACTGAATGAGCATGCTTTCTTAAGATTTTCTCTATGAAAACATTCTTTCATATGGTAGCTTTTAAAAATAATTTGTAGTCTCCATAGTAAGGTCTATAAACTTCACACTTAACTTTTTATTTCTGCTTTATTCCTGTTCAATGCATTGCCAAATATTGCTTTTGTGTAATTGAAACAGAACTGTAGTTTGATTATTAAACAGAGAGACTGTAGTTGTCTTCAGCTCTAATGGGGTAAGCAAAAGCTCTCAGTAGAAGTAAACCTGAAACAGTGAAAAAGTTTCTTTTTTTCCAGAGCAGAACCAGAGATACAATGCTAGGGGGCCAGCAGCCTCACCACCAAGGGGTGGTCTTCTGGTTTCAAGTTGTGGCTTGGGGATGTGGGTTTGACATGACATTTTGCAAGTGGTTGTATGCAGTCTATTTATTTTCTCCACCCTTCTTCTCTATTCTGCCTTCATTTGTACCTCAAAATATTTGCAATTTAAATATTCCCCCGGCATTACAGGACATGTCTGTAGCTGCAACCCTGACAGCTCTGACCTGCAGTTTAGACTGGGTTTGCTTCTGAAGTGCTGAATTGTGGTGGGAAAAATGCTTAAAAGGTTCAGGCAAAAGGAGGGTATCAGGTGTACTAAGCAGCATGGGTGATTTTGTGTTTGAAGCCTAAGAGCAGGGAGAAAAAGGGTGTGACACTATATGAGTACCATTTTTAACCCTAACATCAAATGAGGACAATGAAGCTTTCTGCCGTATCCTGCAGATGGCCATGAGTCAAGTAATGCAACTGATGCTTGCCAGTTGTTGACATGTCTGTGTAGAGGACACTCCTTTTTTATCTGCCACAGTTGCTTAAACCCAAAAATAACTCCTTATCTTACAGTGAAAAGTTTGAGGTACTTTAAAATGGCGCTAACCTTGAGCTGTACAACAACAAAACGAGTACAGGTAAGATTGGTGCTCTAAGCAAGATGAAGGAAAGAGAGGCAGGATTTTATTATGTTTATAATTCTGTTTATCTTTCTAGATTTAAAAGTTTTGCTCCATGCTAAGAACAAATCTCTGTTCCCTTTCCTGTAGAAGCTCATTCCTTACTTGCTCCAAAATGAGTTTATCTCTGTAGCATTTGTACAACTATACGAATAGCCTTTGAGCGGATGTCAGACTAAGGAATGGCTGCCTGCAGATCAAGTTGCTGCTGCCAGCTCTCGCGAGCTTTGTGTCAGAAACAGTTGATCATAATGACAGTACTGTCCAATTTACGGGCTGAAGCAGCAGCTGCATCTGCGTTTTCCCTGAAGTATTCAAAGATCCTGACTCTCAAAAACTTTGTAGTTCTTGTAATAGAAGCAGGGTAAGTGATTCTCTATTTACACATCTCTGTCTGCCAGATTAATTTACAGTTCAGCTTGATTTGCAAGGGGATTGGGAACTTTTAAAAGCTCTGCTCATTTGTTGCTCTCTTGGGAAAACTGCTATGCAAACAGAACGAGTAAGCAGGCATGTGTATCAGACCTTGGCATTATCCAAGGGATCCTGGGCTAAGTAAATTAAGCTAAGCTAGAAATCACTTATTAATTCAACCATCTTTTCTATTTAAATAGTGATTATATAGTCTTATGTATAGATTTCTTGCCTGGGTGAAGATTTGCAAGAAGAAATAGTCGTTGAAGTAAATTGTGTTCCCTTGCTGAATAAGAATAGAAAAGTGTAGCCTGTTTAACTTTTGCTGGAGGAAAGTACTACAGCAGCAGCTTTTTAAAGTATGCAAATACATTATGTGATATGTCTCTGTTCGGTTAATGCTGATGAGCTAAAGCAATCTTCTGACCCTTTTATTCGCACAGTAATAATCCAGTAATGTTTGTTTTGCTCAGTGTACTTTATGTTGTTGAATTTGTTTTAATGCAACATTAAAACCTTATTAAATGTAATATTTGCCATACATTCAAGGTGCAATAATAATCCCCTTTCTCTTTCTATTTTCGTTAATATTAGCAGAGTACCTTGAGACAAGTGCTGTCATTCAGCAACACAAAACTTCTGCATTTTTCAGTGATCTATTTAAAACTTTTTGTTTAAAATGCCACCTGTTCTTTTAAAGAGCTCATTAAAATTATTTTTTTCTCATTTTTTTCTTATCTAAAACTTCTTAGGTTGAAAATTTATGCCTCTCTGTCTTGCAATGCTACAGTGTTTTCCTCCCATCCTTTTCCTTTTTAATTACCAGGAAAGTAAAGAGGGGAGTTAATTTAATTACTACTTAGATATTGAAAGCTTTAGGAGCTTCAACATCTCTTGCTTTTCTTAGGGTCATTTTCTCTTCTTCATAATGATGAAGTTTGAAATTTTATTATTTCCAGCTTGGTTTTGTGGTTTGATCCTGGGTGGTATTTTAGAAGTGAATATGTGAAGAAAGTCAGTGTCAGCGAAACCACAGACTTGCAGAAATTACTTCTCCTATCTCACAGTGCTGTGCATTGGATGCTCAAGTACCAGATCCCTGCCACTTACATTTCTCACAGCCACCCCAGTTGCCTCGGTTGACTGTGAGATAGGGTGAAAGAGTTTAGCCCTAAACTAATCCTTACGTAACATTCCTCACCCAGCCTTTTAAAGATTTTATTACAGGAATGAACAGAACAGAAATGACTGACACATAGAGATAGGAGCTAAATACCGCTAAATTATATGAGACTCCTGTGAGGCTACCGCATGCTGACAGAGCAAGCCTCTGCTTACCCAAACTTATTGGGAGCTGCTGGACCACATGAATCATCCAGATTGACTACTCACGTCTCTAAAGTTTAGCGTATATGGGGGCATTTGATTCTAAAAGTCAAGCTGAAGGCTATGTGGAGTGTTAGACCAGCTCTGAAGTCTATTGCCCCCATTTACCACCTTATCTTTTTCTTTCTTTAATAAAAAGACAAAAGCACAAATGCTTACGTTTTCTAAAATTTATTTTCTACCGGTTGGATGATAAAATATTTTCTCTAGGGATCCTTCCTTCTCCTTTGATGCTATCTCAAAGTTAGGAACTTCTTTGCGCACAATCTTTCCCCTTCCTCTTCCCCTTCCCCCCCCCCCCCCCCCCGCCCCCACCATTTTCTTAGTTCATTTACAAGAGTACGCAAACAAGCAGGAGGAGCTCAGATTAAGCCACAGCTGTACTTTCCACAAAAATTAGAGTAGTTCCTTTTAAGGAAACAAGTGCTTCTCATTAACAAAGAATAGCCTGTTTAAAGCGGCAGGACAGAGTACACTATGTATGACAGGGCAACAAGCAAAAATTAGGAACTTTGTTGAATGTTTTCAAATATGTAAACCATAGAAATGGGTTTTCGCAAATAGTCTTTTCCTGAGTTTTCACTTTCGAGGGGAAGATACTGGGGGTTTTATAGTATTTGAAAATGTTGGCTTAAATAGGACTATTAGCATGCTTAAATGGGGTACATAATAAACATCTATACCCTTAGCTTTAAGATAATATTAATTATCATTGGAAGTTTTCAGGAAGCAAACGCCAGGCTATAGTTAAATTATTGTGCACCACCTACATATATTAAAGAAAACCTTGGCTTTTTAGGATTTTAATGTTTATTCTAAGTAGTAGAAGTGTGACTACTTCTCATTACTATGATGGTTATAAACTTGGTTAAGTTTCTTTAGAGAAAAAGATCTCAAAAGAAATATTTTATTTAGGTCTTGGTGAACCTCTGTACACCAACTGACATTCAGTTCAGAAGTCCTTCATGTACTTCACTTGTTCAAGCACTTTCACATCTTGCAGCATAGGAGTAGGACAGTGAAATCACCCAGTGCTTTGAGTTTATAGCAATGTCATCTTAATGGCATCTACTGTGAGACCAGCATACAGTTCAAAACTTATGTGGACCTGGAAATTCTTGGATTAAAACTAGGCTTCAAGCTCCTTTTAAGTGTTCATGGGATGTGTGTTTGTATCGGAAAAGTCTGTGCCTAATGATGTTTATTATCACATTATTGATTTGAGAATACAAATGCTAGAATAACCTCTAACAGAATAATGGCTAGTCTGGCATGGCATTTTCTGTCACAGATCATAAAATGTCCTGTTTGTCATGCCAGTGGAAATGCAAGTGGTTAAGTCATCTGCTAACTGAAGTAGTCAGAAATGGGTTTATACGACTTTACCTTCCCTGGTCCGTCTTCTTCAGTTCTATGGATTTTTTTGGCAACTGAGTTTATCTGAAGTACTGTAACAAATCCTAAACACCAAATGCAGTCTTCACAACACAACTAACAAGCATTTATGATAAAATAGTTCTGAGCTTTTTGCAGCAGTACCACCTTATTTTCAATGCCCTCGGGATGATCTACACCCTTTTTGACTAAACTGTTTTGGCTCTGGTACTAATACATTACAATACTAATTCTAGATTTCTTTTTTCCTGTTTCAGGTATCATGGTTTGGACAAATGGCACAAGTCTCTATGCCAGATTTCTTATGTGGTTTCTTCTGTATATGTTTGCCAGGAAGGTAATGCCTGAAGACAACATCATTACAACCAAAAAAGGCAGAGTCAGAGGGATGAGCCTGCAGGTACTGGGGGGAACTGTGACAGCTTTTCTTGGAATACCTTATGGACAGCCACCCATTGGTAAACTGAGATTTCAAAAACCAGAGCCTTGTGAGAAGTGGTCAGAAGTATGGGATGCCACAAAACATGCAAACTCTTGTTACCAGCTTATAGATACAACTTATCCAGGATTTCCTGGATCAGAGATGTGGAATCCAAAAACTAACCTAAGTGAAGACTGCTTATACCTTAATGTATGGGTCCCTTCTCCCAAACCCAAGAATGCAACTGTCATGGTGTGGATATATGGTGGTGGCTTTGAGACTGGGTCAAGTTCCCTACCAGTCTATGATGGCAGGTTTCTGGCCAGAGTAGAAAGAGTCATTGTAGTTTCCATGAACTACAGGACTGGTGCATTAGGATTTTTGGCTTTGCCAGGAAACAAGGAAGCTCCTGGAAATGCAGGTTTATTCGATCAAAGATTAGCACTTCAGTGGGTCCAAGAGAACATAGCAGCATTTGGAGGCAATCCAAAAAGTGTGACTATATTTGGAGAGAGCGCTGGCTCAGCTTCTGTCAGCTACCATATCCTTTCTCCTAAAAGCCATCCTTTATTCACAAGAGCCATCATGCAAAGTGGATCTGCAAATGCCCCTTGGGCTGCAGTAACAGCATCTGAAGCCAGAAACAGAACAGTAGCTTTAGCTAAACAACTCCAGTGTCCCACCAGCAATGAGAAAGAGTTAATTCTCTGCCTCAAAGACAAGGACCCACAGGATATAGTGGAGAATGAAATTTTTGTTGTAACATATCACACTCTTTTGCAAATCTTTTTTTGTCCAACTGTGGATGGTGATTTTCTCTCTGACATGCCAGAAACGTTGATTGAGAACGGCCATTTCAAACAAACACAGATCTTAGTTGGTGTTAATAAAGATGAAGGATCAGCATTTCTAGTATATGGAGTCCCTGGCTTCAGCAAGGATAGTGATGGCTTGATCAATAAAACAGAATTTGAAACAGCTTTAACTGTGTCCTTTCCAGAAGCAAGCCAACTTGCAATAGAATCAATCATTTTTCAGTACACAGATTGGGAAAATGAGCAAAAGCCAGAACAGTACCGTGATGCCATGGATGATGTTATTGGTGACTACAACATAATATGTCCTGCAATACAATTCACAAAAAAATTTGCACACCTAGGAAACAATGCATTCTTTTATTTCTTTGAACATCGATCCTCAAAGCTCCCTTGGCCAGAGTGGATGGGAGTAATGCACGGTTATGAGATTGAGTTTGTGTTCGGATTACCCCTAGAAAGAAGAGTGAATTACACCAAAGCTGAAGAAATCTTAAGTCGGTCCATGCTGAGATACTGGGCAACTTTTGCAAAAACTGGGTAAGTTTACTATGGAAGTTGTTTGATTGGTCAGATGCTTGTTGTTTCACAGGCAGAAAAAGCTTAACTGTTTTGGTGGTAATTTTGAGCCTTGTGAGAACGATGAGGAAGCCAGAATTCCAATTTTAGTTCTGATAAAAACACTGTCTTAGTAAAACAAACTGTTGATGTATAGCTTACTGTATTGGATGAGCTTAAGAAAATAGTGTGTATCCACACATAAAAGCAAATGCCAATTTTTTAATTTTTTTTTATTTTTTTTCATGGCAGCAGTTGCACAAAGGAAGCTGATGGCTTAAAGTTTTAGAAACAGAATAATTCAAATTCTGGTAGTGACTTCCAACAGTAGAAGTAAAAGTAAAAAGCTCGATTTTCTTTAAGATGTAATTGGTCAGAACATGCATGTGTATAATATGGAGGTATATCATGTTCACATGAAGTGATTGGGATTACAGGATGTTCTTTTCAGAAAGCCTATCTTTCCATCTGTACTGTAAGTATAAGTCTGGTTTTCACTGAAGCAGATGAAAAATCACTTGTTATTTTAATTAAACTAATCTTTAAGTGAAATATATGCCAGCTTGTATAAAAAGCAAATAGCCATATTTCATTTGGATGTTTGAAATGATTCAAATACAGCTCCTCATTAGGTCTATTTAGCTGGCATCCCAGAGAAGTAAAACAGCCCTCATTCTGCTTGGCAGGGTTGTGGGTCTCTCAACACAGTATTCATTCTGAAACGAAAACATTTCTGTGTGGTAAGAAAAACAGCCACTACTACAGTCATGTAGTCTCAAGGCTGAAAGCCTGATGGGTTGGGAAGGTAGCTTGTCTTCTCAGAAGTTTAGTTTGTGCTCTCTCCTGAGAAAAAATATATATAAAAATCTGTACATGACAGAACATGAAATTACAATCTTAATTCACACTTTAAATTGTTTCATTAACTCAAATCCTGCATCAATTTTATTTCCTTGGTGCACTTTTCTTTTGCTTTGTGAAGGATACATAGATTTGTAAAGGCTGAAATCAACTTTGGAACAAAGTCCCAAGGTGAACTAACAGCTTATTTTTATGTGTTTGTTTTGTTGTTTTTTTTTAAACAGATTTGCTTTTCAACAGGTGTGATTGTTTGCCTTGATATGTAGGAATACTAATTACAATTAACAACTTTATTCCCTTTATTTGTTGAAGCTTGTAATACAATTTTTGCTCAGTGGTGAGCATATTAAAACTCAGAAAATTACTATATAGATAGTTATATTCATCAATGCATAATGTTTTGATACAGGTTTTATTGTAAAATTCAATCTAAAATTTAATCTATGAGCTCTTTTCACTTCCCTCTTTACTTGGAGACTGATGACACCACTTCATATGAATTTGGTATGAAAGACTATAGCACAGAGAAAAAGATTCAGCAGGGGTGTACATTCTGGAATTGAGCTGTGTGGTTGATTTATCTATGCCAAAAATGCATCGGATAGATTCCCAAGATGAAGACTGCAGAATGAGGTCAGGTAAAGCTTGGTAACAATTCCTGCATCACAAAGACATGCTATGACAACACTGCATTGAAGCTGGTGTCATTAGGTCCTTAGTGGAGAGTAAACTGAGTGAAGATTCCTAACTGCAGCTTTACAACCTGTCCTGCAGGAGTCTACAATGAAGATCTTACAGCAGAGATAACAAATCTTTCCATTAAACAGAACTCTTTCTTAGTAGGAAAACAAAAATTCAAGTCTATACTAGATTTTGCAGAACAATATTTGTATTTTTGTGAAGTATTGTTTTCCAGTGGATTATATAGATATATTTAACTTTTAAGTATATAATTTTTATGCATACATATATACATATTAAAATTTCAATAACCTGCTATGCAAAGTAGAGTACACTGTCTCTGTCACTGTAGTTAGCTAAAATTAAACAACGTAAGGTACATTCAGGTTTAAGCTTATATAAGTCAGTCCCATCATCTAGTCTATCATTTGCATAATAGATTAACCTGCAGGTTGAATTTCAAGTGGTTTCCACAGCAAACAGCAAATAATCCCTTCCTCTGTCTCCACCTTAAGTACCAAAACCATCTGGATTAAGGTGAACAATATAATCATGCAATTTATGTAACAGTAAAGGATCAGATCAGTAGTAACTCACTGTGTGACACTTTCCTCATCATTCAGAACACAGATCCCTGAGGTTCTGTAACACTTTACTCATAGTGCATAACAAGTTGGGAAATAATAAAAATTCTTAATAATTCCAAAAGTAATATAATAGGTGATCCTTGTTTTCCTGACACATTTGACCATGCAGTAAACATTTACAAAGAAATGGGGAAGCCCCATTTGACATAATTGACATTATTGTGAATTCTGGCATGAGCAAAAGGCAAGCATCTGAGGGGAAAATTACTTTATCATTGATGTATCCAGTAGATGAGGAGAAAGTCAAGCAAAAAAATGAAAATCAGAAATATTTAACAACATAATTTTTAGTGAGGGTGTTTGACCGATATTCTAATGTGCAGAAGTACAAAAATACAAGCAAGAGAAGAGCAGGAAAGAAGATACAAAGGAGTCAAGAAAAACTGAAAGAGAGAGATTGGTTTTCTTCTGGTACTTTCTGGTTGGGGGAGACCGAGAGACAGCTCAGCTCACCACATGCATGTCTTCAAGCCCATACTTTGACCCTAATGACCTCTGTTTTTCATTCTAACATAAGCACTAGGAATAAAAATGGTGATGTGAAAAGTCAAAGGAATTCCCTGTAGGAGCATTTTCTGTTTCTGTCATGGTTTAACCCCAGCCAGCAGCTAAGCACAACCCAGCCAGTTGCTCATCCTCCCACAGTGGGACGGGGGAAGAGAATTGGAAGAGTAAAAGTGAGAAAACTCATGAGAAATACATAATGACATGTAAGAACAAAAGAAAAGATGTTAGGGAGAAAAAGAGAACTGACTCCTTCGAAGGATCCCAAGGGTGTATGTGAAATTCTTGATTTCAACATCTCAGTAAACAAAAGAAGACTTGTCAGCCAGTCCAAGAGTTTCCCCCTCAACCACCACACCCATCAATAACTGATGCCATTTTCCAAGTCTCTAGGCTCTACTTATTTCACATCCTTGCTAAAAATAAATATTAGTGATAACAGCCTCTTTTTGCTGGAAAAATAAAAGGGATAAATATTTTCTTTTTTGAACATGAATGGGTAATATAGATGATTCATCAGGTCATGTGAAAGACATTTTACTGTGATGCTTGAAGTTAGATGCTGACTTCATACACGGATATCTCTCTTCAGTACCCGTGGGAACAGTGTCATTTTTTAGGAATCTGAAATACATTTATGAGGTCTGTAACATTAATGAAGACCTTCCCGAAACATTCTTCTTTGGCAATAAGCTTTTCACTCAGGCAGATTCCTTGCAGATTCATTATCCAGAATAGGATTCAGGAGTTTAGGAACCTCTTGGAACTATGGATACAGTATCTACCTCTGTTACTGCACACAGGGATAGGCTGCTAATCACTGTCTGCAGTATTTGCCCATGTAAATAATGTTATTTTGTATTGCATAGTCTGAGAAGAATCAAAAAAATAAAAATAAAATAAAACAAATTACTTCAACTGCTGTTCAAGCAGTTAACACAAAGTAGCTTGAAGAAAGTATAGATCAGTAGTGATGTTTAGGATCAACCCTTTGGATTATTTCTATCTAATAATGCTCGAAGATAGACTACAGGTCAGAGGTAAGCACCTACCATGGAGATGTGGCTAAGCACACTGGCAGTGTGGATAACTTACACTCAGTTACACACTCCCCAGTTGATCCTCATATTTAAGAACACTGGCAATTGAAGATCAATTGTTAGTTTTAAAATGATTTGATAACATTCCAGATGTCATTAAAATTAGACCGGCAAAGAGGTGTGGTCAAATGGTATTCCGGCTCAGTAAGATTATGTTTGTGTGTAAGTAAAGTTCACTTTAACAATAGTATGTCAGTTTGCAGTGGCCTTCTGAATGCTCTCTGTCACACTTTAAGTGACGTGATTGTGAATTTAAATTTCTCTTTTTAAACACTTTTAAAATTAATTGCTGCATTTTTGTTATTCTTCAGAAAGCTTTTGAAAGTAAGTGGCACTAACAGGTACTATCAGTCATAAGCAGCAGAATGCTCTGCTAACTCTAGTGAGAGGAAGTTTTATCTATCATGAAAAAAAAATATATGGCATCCCAATCACTGGGTGCTTGGCTATGCCTTTTGCATTACTTTATTCATTAGATTTGGTACCTGTATTCTTTAGACATGAGTGACATAAAGTGACAAAGAGACAGACAAATCAGATGAGATGAAAACTCAAATAATAATGTAGTGGAACATACAAAGATAATATTTTTAAGGCTTTGTGAAAAAACGTTTTGGCTAAGAGGAAACTGGCAAAACTTGTCTCACTGCCACTTTTACAACTGCTGAAACAAATCTTTACAGCTTTTTCTATAAAGTGAAGCCTTTGAAATATTTCCTTCTGTATTTTAGGGGAATTTGTGAGGCTTTGATTGTTCCACTAAAGCTCTGAAGTACTTTGCCTGGTTATTATTGCCTTTCCCTGATGTTCCACTGGTAGACATATAATAAATTTCAGTGCTTTTGTTACCAATTTATCACAACATTTTTATAGAGAGTAGTTTCAGAGTGGTGAGAACAAAAACAACAGCCTCATATAGAGTCCAGACAGCACATTGAACTGGGGACCTATATATTCTATGTATGGAAAGCAATGAATATACTGGGGGGGGGGGGGAGGGAAGTAAAAAGCTCCAATTACTTTTAATTTTCTAACAGTTTTGAAACTAGGTAGTTTTACATATGAATAAGCTATTTCAAGGTAAGAAATTTACTGTGGGTTGTATTTTTTCCTAAGATTAGCCCATGCTCACAGGCCAGAAAGACACTCAGCTGAGACCTGGTTTCTGGTCCCCACCATGTCTTCGAAT